GGGCATGGCGCAGTTGATGATCTGAACCCGTCTTGACGCGGTTGTGCAGCGGGTGGCCGTCGCTGGTCACCGGCACCATGGGCGCACGGCAGAAGCATCCCGGCTCACACTGGGTTTGTGTTTTCCCAGGGATGCGGCGATCGTAGGTGATCTTCTTCCTGGGGTTGGACGGTTTCAGGGGCCGGTTGGTCGGCTTCGCCACCACGGGAGAAGCAGTGGTGGTCTGGCTCCGGTTGTCGTCCATGCACAGCGTGTCCAGGTTGTCTTGCTCGGGCAGCAGGTCGCACCTCATCCGGTCTGGCCATGGGAAGCCGTACTGCCTCATGAGCGGAGCGCAGCCAGCTTTGGCCCGCTCACACACGCTCCTGCACGGCGGTAGAGGCTTCTTGTAGTCCTCCAGGCAGATTGGCGTGTACATGCTGCAGAGGAAGAAGCGCAAGTCCGGGGAGCACTTTATCTCCACCAGCGGCCAAAACTGGTGCACCTCCAGACCGGCTTCGTCCTGCGTGTCGTGGTTGAACTGGTTGGGCATGTAGGTGTAATTGTAGCCAACGCCTTTGCACAGAGGCACGGAGATCTCCTGGCACTGGAGCTCCTTGGCGGCCATGCAGCCCGTTCCGTGCAGGACGAGGGCGAACAGCACGCACCATCCCGGGATGCTCCTCTCCATCGTTGTGATCTGTGCGCGGTTCGACCTCGACAAAGTGCCAGCGAACTTGCGCTTTGCAAGTAGGCTGCAGAGTCCGATTAATCCAGGGATGCTGCTGAACTCATGCTAGAGCGCAGGTAGTTTGTGATGCTGTGTGGTGTCTGTGATATCCAAAAACAAGCGCTTTATTTTCACACAGACAGTCTCCTCTCTCTCCCTTTGTGTCGGTGTAGCAGCACCGTGTCTCTCTACATGCTCTATAGCTGGTGGGAGCGTTGGGTTTTATACGGGAGGAGCGAAGACACTCCCTCAGCATGGGCGGGGAGGGAGAATAAGTCAATCAAGGACTCCTTCTATAGGTGTTTGTTTAAAATGTTCACCCTGGAGGAAGGGTTATAATCACTTTGTCTGTCTTTACCCCCCCCCCAAACACACACACACAAACCCACACACACTGCCCTTTACAAACAAGGAGAGGGGGAGTTATAACACAATAGAGACATTAGGAAGAAATGTAATTAGGGATGCAGACAGTGGACAATAAACTAACATAAACCTATCCAACCTGTTAGGCTAGCAGGATACAGAAGGTGGCTGAATGCATCAAAGCACCAATGATGCAAATTTATGAGAAAAGGGGGAAAAAAAAAAGAGGAAAAAAATGTTTTTTATGTTTTATTGGTGGCTAACAACTGTTATCATCAACATCAGCTATTTATTCACACATCACTTCAACTCTTTCTCTGTCAATATTGCTTATAGAAGATGCATTAAGACATCATTATTATTATTACCATTTTCATGACTTAATCATTCTCAAACAAACAAAAATGCCGCTCAAACTTGAATGAGAGGAACATTTTTAAAAGTTGAATGTATGTAATGTAAGTAATATTTGAGTATTTGTATGTGAGTTTACTGAGTATACTGCTGCAACTCATCTGTGTTTGACTATTTCAAGAATACCCTATCAAAAACATTTTGCAAAGCTTTTCATCAAGATACCATTCTTTATTGAATGTGATAGAGGTGTCGCACTGGTCTGCACCTCGCTGTGTTTGTCCTCTGTCTGCGACAGGGTTAAATCCTGCAATAGCTACAGTGCATGTCAACACCAAAAATGTCTACAAAACATTGAACTGAGTTTCTTCTATTCCTTACAGCAAAATATTGCAGCATGTGTTGGTAGTTTACTTGAAATGAAAACTTTTTATGTCAAAGAAACTTAAGTACTTAATTTTGTTTCAGTGAGTATAAGAGATATTTATATTCCCTCTTATCTTTTACTTCTCATCTCCAGTTGTTCTGATGGTCGAGTATTGAGAGTAATATGCGGCAAACTACTTTCACAATCATTATTAGGGTTTGAAGTTTTCTATTTAATTATTTTATTTCATTTTCTCCAAAGCCAGTTCAATGATAGTCAATTTAGACCAAGTGTAGTTAGGAAAACATTTGCTTCAGTCACTGTGTAAAAGCAGGTGAACAAACAGATTTCCAATCCTTTAAGATGACGGTTCATTGGGCTGCAAAGTTTATGAAAAGCCAATGTATCAATCATTCATAGACAAATGGTTCTCCACTAGTCTGATACAGCCCGCCAGTCACCCTTCGATAAAGTGAACGACTTCCTGTCTCGTCTGTGGATCTGACAATGCGTGAAAATGTGCCCTCGGACTTGGATGCACGTGTTAAAGAATGCGAGAAAATGTGTCTACATGTGTGACAGTATAAGAATATGTCTGCTTGCATGCAGGAGAAATAGAGGGAGAATGCGTGTGTGTGGTAAGGGAGGTTAATGTGTTCTTGTTAGCCCACAGCGGGGGGTCGTCTTGGTCTAAAGGGAGGGGGTGCTGTTTGTCTTAACGCCGGTGCCAATGTTTCACTCAGAGCATGCTGGGCCGGCGATTACTGTGACACACCACTGGGCCCAACAAACAGGACAGTGTGTGTGTGTGTGTAAACAGTTTCAGAGCTCAGCCTAAAGAAAATAAGCTAACATGGGCAGATACAGCATTGTGATAGCACTAATTAAAGTCATTCACACTTCTTATTGGATTCATCAGCTTCAAATGGAGCTGAGACAGTTTGGCAGACGGGCAGCGTGTTTCCGATGCACAGGTTTTATCAGAACTAATTAGCCTCAAACTCCAATATTTGCTAGAGGATGCTTGTTCTTGCTCAGTTTGGGGTTCCAGCTGGGTGGGGTGTGTTGTGAAAAGATAATTCTGAGGGTGCTGAGTGAGCTGGCAGTAACACAAACATTTCTAAATTAAATGTCAGATACTTTCCTGTACAGTACTTATCAGGCTGAAAAGTCAGAGAAAACAAAAATCCTCCAAGGTGTGATATGATGTTGTTGTATGTCAAAACAGCAGAGGGACGTTTAAACTTATATCAGCGTTTATATTACATACAGAAAATACAGTTATACTTCTCATCTCCTAACTAGTACATATACAAATTTGTAGATACTGCAAGTGAATGCCACACACACACACACACACAAATGCTTCACAGCAATGTTCACCTGTAACTTATCTTGGCTTGAACACATAAACCCGTACATATCCATCTATAGTTAATTATTTGAAGTGTTTAGACTGAAATGTGTGCTTTCCCGCGCTCACAGGTGCTCTGGCAGTCAGAGATTGGGCAGCCTCTATTATCACCCTGCCAAACTTTTGTACAACTAGTCCCCATAGTAACCACCACACCAAACCATCATCCAAGAATTCAAGCTGAAGCCAGTGTGTATTCTCCTCCATTGAGGTGTCCTGGCAGTTCTCTCTGGCTCTGTGTAGGAATTGCCTGAGTTTGGTGGAGGTGTAACCTTTTCACTCACAGCACCAGTGTAGTGGAATGTTTCTGTTCTATAATGTTGATGTTAAGTCATTGGGATTTGACTCAAGTCACCGCTTTGGTGACTTTCAACTTGACGAGTTGAGACCTGGAACTTAAAGACCCTTGACTTGTCTGTGTTCATTTTATGTTTTCGGTTTAAATATAAAATACTAAAAATGTTCAACATTGTCAATCTTGATTTTTCTTAACTAAGGACTCAACCTTACATGACTTGACACAACCTATGACTTAACTTGACTTGCCCAAGAAAATAGGATTTGGGACTTCCTTTGACTTTAACTAAATTACTTAAATCACATGTCTGACCAATTCCAACATCTTGGCTATCCTCAACACCTACATCATGTATGTCTCCTGGATATTTGACTCTTTTTTCACAAACACATGTGTGTGTTGGTGAACCTGATATGTTAGACTGCATGCACCAATAGGAAAGGTTAACAGTATTCCCAAATCTATACT